TCAGTCTGTTTTGCTAACTTTGCATTTAGCGATAGTAATTTCACCACAGATGGTGACTTCAGAGAACAGCAGTGTTTGGTATCTGTAAAGATCTGGGCCCAAAGTAACTGGAGTTACGGGTCACAAGCACTGACCAAAGAAAAAGGAAGGGGGTGGCAGGGTCATGAGGTACAACCCCCTCAGCTGGTAAGGGTCTGCAGCTGTGTGTGTTGGTGATACAAACACAGCTGAAGCCAGTGTTCTGAGGTGACAGCATGTAGGCAGCAGGCTGGAATCACAGCATAAGTGAACTCACTGATAGCAGTGGGAACTTCTTCCTTGCTTGGAGCCTCTGCAGTGTTTATCTTGTGAGGTGGTTCGTTTCAGCTCTGGGTGTTGTTAAGATGGGCTGTAGATCTGTGGGTCTCAGCCGAACCTAGCTGTACAAGAGCTTGGCCTCTGTCTTGCAATGAGTTAACTCTGAGCCAGGAGCAATTTGCGGTTGCTTTGTAGTTTGCTCAGAATTAATGAGGCTTTTTGTCTTCACCTGTTAACCCTAGGTGCTGCATGTGGTTGAAAGAGATGTGGGTGACCAGCCAAATGCTGAGGAAATGCTGTGGGCACAGGGTAGAACAAGACTGTGAGTTGCCCTGGGCTGCTCAGAACCAGTTCAGCCCAGCTCTAAAACCTTTGAGGTGCTGGAGCTCTGGCCAGCAGGATGGTGTGATGTGACCTGCCATATCGTGACTTGATACAGATATCCTCACACACTGGAGGAGGGGACTCACAGCAGCCTGGTTGTGCTGGAACAGGGGTGCTAAGGCATAGCATGACAGATGGGTGATGGATTGAAGGCCTTGGACAACTATCCTCCAGCCTGAGTTGACCTCACCTCGTGAGAGGGACCGTGATGTAGCTCATACTGCATGTTGAGGAAGCAGAGACTTAGGGCAGGAGAGTGTAGGTGCTTGGCTGAGAGGATGGGGAAGGGGAATGAAAGCTACGTACTGAGCATTTGTGCTTTTCCTTTGGTATTCTTTCCCACACTCCTTAGTACTGGAATCAGTAATCAGAAGCTTGTATACAATTGGCAATAAGTGAGTTTAAGATTTCCCTGAGATAAGACTGTTCTGCTAGGGATGCTTGTTGTTAGAAAGCATGTGCAACTCTCAGTTCTGCTGTCTCCCAGACAGGAGAGACTCCAGGGCTCTGGAGGGAGCCACAATTTCGGTCTGAGAATACAGGGTGGTGTGTGAAGGTGGTCAGAGATTAAGTACAAATGGTGTGCAAAGTCAGACAAAGGAGGGACCTGGGGACACCACAGGCACAACAGACTGTGCATAAGGCCATGGAGTGACCAACTCAGAACAGGACTCCAACACCCTGGGGGAGAAATAGGTCTTGTGCTGACGTAAAAGCAAAGCTCTTTCAGGCACAACCAGCTGCAATCATTATGTAGACCTGTGGAGAGGAGAGTGCATGTGTGTGCCCAGCGTGAGTGCACTCTCAGCAGCTCTTTGCTCACAGTGAAATTACAGAACTGCTGGACTCTGGCAGCTGTGGCTGTGCTGGTGTTGGAAATATACCATCCTGATAAATTATTTGGATCTCTGATCAAGCAGATTTTATTCACAATTGCAATGGTGGGCCTTCTGCAAGCAGGAGAGTGTGCAGAAAACAGTGTTTCACCTTTTATGCCCTGTTATGCGGCGCTTATCTCTTTCTCCCCTGGTTCCTCATTGGCTGAGTACTTCAGGTTTGCAGTCTTCCTGGTGCTCGACTACACATACTGGCTAACCATAATTTTTTGCTAGCTAGGCATCTGTCACTAATTAGTTAACTTCTCACACTTGCTCATTCAACACTTGGTCATTGTTTCTGGACATCTGCTTGTCCTTGCATAGAGATAAGCTTAGAAGGAGGATAGGGGGGAGTACCTTGATGCTTGCCTGTTGCATTCCAACCTACCCACAGAGCAAGGCAATCCAGCCTTGTGTAGAGGCCCTGGCTTCTTCAGTGTTTGCTAAGTCTGTTTTTCTTTTGCTGAGGGTCCTTTATCCAAACAGAATAGCCCTACAATCCGCTTTCTAGTCCATCATACTATACCTATACAATTTGGAACATCTAAAAACTATTGCAGTTTTGCAAGCAAGAATTAATCACATAATTCAGCAACTATATTTCTAAAGCATGTTACTACCATATATGCTATTTCTACTTTTTCACATCAGCTTTTTCTAAGGAGCAGTTGCAAAATGCAAATAGATTGTGCTCTACTTCTTCAGATCAGTTCCCCCTTCTTATTATCTAATGCAGAAACAACATTCCATTCCTGCACTGGGAAGCTGGTGCACCTGGGGTATGGCTTTTGCTATGGGAGAAGAGAGCAGAACTCTGAGCAGTTAGGACTCTGCTGCTTGCAAGCGCTGCCCTGCACAAGAGAGGAGTGCTATGGAATCTGCTAGCGAAGGGCCATGTGGAGCACTAATCCTGCTCATCCCACGGGTGAGATAGGCCTGCAGAAGGACTGGGAGGAAGAAAAAATAATTGCAGTTGTTTGGACCACTGGATTGTGTTGTCAAGTGAGGGGGAAAGGACCCTGAAAAACTGTGATGACTGAGGGTGTGGCTCAGAAGCTGTGAGGGCTGGGTGACACCCCTCTGGTGCTGCCTGATAAGTTGGAGGAGGGCAAGGACGTGTTTGTGCTGAGGGGTGCATGCCACACGGCGGTGTGAGGCTGGCAGCACGATGAAGGATGGTGCTGGGGTGCCGGTGCTGTGGCTGGGCTCCCAAGAGGATTGAAGTGCTCCATGTCCCACCTGTTGTGCTGGGATTTGTGGATGTTATGTAGGAAAAGGGAGCTGGTGGCGGAGTGGGACAGACAACTCATCGCAGACCTAGCACAGGGGCAGGGGCTGAGCTCAGTTAATGTTGTTACAGGATGGGGATGTATAGCTCACTGAAATAAAGAAGAGCGACAGCGGCCGTCTGCACGGACGCCGTGCTCCGAAGCCGAAGAGGCGGCGGGAGCGAGGCAGGCCGGGGCGGCTCCTGTGGAGAACAGCCGCCCTCTGCTGCCCGCGGCGGGAGCGCGCTCCTCACGGCGGCGGGCCGGAGAGCTGAAGGGCGGGGTGGCTCTGAACGGGGGGACGTGAGGGTAGAATTCCAGGATAGCAATCATCTGAAGCAGCTGCTGAAGGAACTGTATGCAGCAAGCACCACGATCACCAGTCGTGTTTTTACACCCGTAGGCATGTGGGCAAAAGCCCGATTGTCCTGCTGCTCATCATACATCCTTGTTTTCTGCATATGGAAAATATAAGAGAGGGATAAATGCGACATGAGAGGTGGGGGGAACGGATGCACAGCACAAACGAAAAGAGAGAGAACACCTTTTGGTGTTCAGTTCTGAAGTGGTGAAATCCTTGGTTGTCTCTCTTATCCTTAGGAATTTGATCTTTGCTTCATATTCCTCATAAGAGACTTTCATCCTCTTCAGCCTGTTGTGCTAGGTGCAATACAAAAGTGAGTACAAATCTGACTTTGTGTTTCAAAGTCTCTCCCTACTTCTTCCTCAGTAATTCCATACAAGGCCATGGACTTACTACAGCTCACAATTTGCTTTTCTAACAAATACCATGTCCTTCTTGCAAGCAAAAAACTCCAGGAACGACAATAATAGACAGTCCCCGAACATGTATCCTGTGACTTTGTAGCAGGACAGATGCATTAAGAAAGCTAGATAAATTGATACAAAGAACATTAGACCAAGCTCCAAATGAAGACACAATAAGACCATCTTCAGTATTCTGCACTATTCTGCGAGTTTTTCTCCTAGAAAGAGAGGAATTAATATCACATATCAAAATAATTTTTCAATATCAAACTGTATGGCATACTGGAAGGATCTGCCACTCCTTTTCCGTGAGAGTCTGGGAAAGTTGAGAGAGGATCCCTGCTTGCTCTGGAGGTTGTAGGATGCCAGGTCACTCGTAACACTCACTTCAAAGTTCTCCACAAAGTGCCGTGGCATGATAGAGTTTGTGCTCACAATCATATTTCCCTTGATCTGGAAGGTAAAGAGAACCTGCAGGAGACCGCTGAGTCTGTTGCTACAGGTCTCTTCTGAGGGATGGCTGCCCTCCAGTGGCTGTAGGGAAAAGCACGATGTGATTTTCTCGAAGGGAATTATCCTATGGGAATTAATAGCCATTACAAGCAGATGGCTCTGGAAAGGAAAAGTATGATGTGTGGTGTTTCAGTTGTGGAAATTTTAAAATAAATAAAAAGACAAATGGCATAGAACCAAAAGGCCATGCCTTACTCCCTTGTAAATTCTAATTCTTTCAGTATGCCCTGAATCCATTAACCCAAGGCATGTCACAACCAAAGACCCTCGAAATACTATGCTGCTGCAACACCTGCTAGCTCCATTAGTACTGCTCAATGACACACCTTCCTTTTCTGCATCCTCCTCCATCAGGGAAAGGCATTTCCAGGGAATGCTTTACCGTTACACAACATTAGTTAAATCAGGCCTATCCTAGTTGTGCTGTCAGCCTGAAGGGAGCATGACTCTTATGCCAGCTGAGTGTGTCAGGCTTTGGGCAGCAGCATCAGCACTTCAAAGTAGAGGGTGCAAGGTGGCACTGCTGTTCAGTATTAGTTAACACTGCCTTCCCTCTACATACAGCCTCTGTTAATCATAGAGAAATGCCAGCACAGGCTGCTAGCTAAATCAGTTGGTGCAGTAGTAGCACCATACAGCCTACAACTAGCAGCTTCCAGTTATGGTCTCCTGGTGCTTCTTGATATACAACCCATACTACGGTATGCCACATCTGGTGCTGCCATCTGTCCTGTTCCGTCAACTAAGGTGCATTGTACTTGGGTATTAAACACTTGAGCAAGATAAAAACCTTAGTACTCCCATGACATAGTTTAAAATGCACAGTTGTTTCAGATGATATTTTTTAAACGCAACAACAGTTTTTCCACATTAGACAAGAGCTTCCATGCCGTTAGTATTCAAACTTCTTTATTTTTGAGAGAATACAAACAAGTCACAGTTCAGGTTAGGTTGGTAAAGAAAGTGACTGCAATAAAGCAATTATGCATGTAGATCAGACATTCATTTCAAGAAAAAGCTTTGGGTCATATTCTAGAAGTGAATAATTGTCTGTTTTGCCATTTCAGCCAGTAAAAGACAAGTACCTAATGAGTAAAGAACTATTGCAGCTAGTTATTACAGTCTGCATTTTTTTTCTTCAGAGCAACTTTATTATTATTTTGTTTTACTAGAGAAAGTCTCTGCTGTCAGGATGGATACAGAGTACAAGATACACAGTGGATCACTGTAGGTAGTGGTAGAATCTCATTAAACCCTACAGGCCTGCAGGATAAAGCTATTTTCAGTATTCAGCATTGAAAGGATACTCCTTGTGGTTTCTGCACCTGAAGGAAGACAAAGAGAAATGATTATAGGTAAAATAAATGCTGACAAGACAGCAGTTACTGACCTTCAAACTAAAGCTTTGTCTAAGTATGTTTCCATGGTGCACATTTGCAAGTGATAGCTCACTCTGCCTGCCACTAGCCAGCTCCACAGAAGCTGACACCAGTTTACTATAATCTCAACAAGGAGAGAAAAAAAAAAAAAAAAAAAAAAAAAAAAGAGTTTAAAACTTGCCAATTGCTTCATTTCTCTAATACGAACACAACCAAAGTTACTAACTAGAACCTTCCTATATTAGGATCTCACAAGTACTTGTAAAGAGCATTGAAAAATTAAGAATTTGAAGGAAACAGCTGTCACTTACATGGCCATGTCACAAATTCTCCAGTTTCTGTTTAGGTTGAGAATAGTTGCCATCTCTTCTTTAGTCAGTTCAAAGTCAAACACCTAACAAGGAAAAACAGCTGGAAATCACTTCATTGAACAAATCAGACTGACAGAAAAGCTCACAGAAGAGCAAGTCCACAAGGGAAGGCATGCTGGTTACGAACGGCTTCATGAGGTTGGGGGGAGGGAGGTGGAGGAGGAGAGGGAAAAAGGGAGAGCCTGCTTGGATGCCCATGGCAGAAAGAATTAAACAAACAAAAAACAAAAAGCCCTAAAATCGCAGTTAGATGTACTGGCTGTTGCAAGAAGCTTCATATGTACTTAGATGCATTCTGAGACACTATTTGTTGAAGATGCATTTCTTTCCAGTTCTAAATAAAGATTTGGAAGATTTCAGTATTCCAATATATTTATGTTTCTTCTAAAAGCCTGATGTCCAACATCAGGAAAATACCAGCAACTTAGCAGTTAGAGGAATAAGATCAGGATTCTTAACACTGCTTACGCTATATAAGCTTCTTTGGCATGCTACTGCACTTGTGCTCCAAGCAAGCCCTGCAGGCCAATTCATTCTCTTTCTGCAGAATAGGAGACAATGTGAAGATGACCGGCAGTGTTACCCAAGACCTCTGTCAACCTCCCTTCTGTAGTTGTAGTTTTCACTTCAGACTTCACTTAGCCCTCAGTACAGGTAAAAATGCAGATGGAAAAAGGCCTGTGCTCTTGTCTGAGGACGACTTGGGAAGGCTGAGGAAGGATCCCTGCTGGCTCTGCAGGGGAAGGGTCACTTGTCATCGCTCACCTTGCAGTTCTCTACAATGCGCTGTGGTGTGACAGACTTGGGAATCACAATCACATTTCTCTGGATCTGGAAGCGAAGGAGAACCTGCAAGGAAAGAGAGAGAGGTACAGGCACTTACATAGATATGAGCTTCAAATTGTTCCTGTCCTTGTGGTTTAGATAGTGCTTTCTGAAGAGCAAAGGGTGAAGTGACAGAGCCCCTCACAGGAAGTCTCCTTTCTCCTTTCCCATCCAGTTTTGAGATTATGAGTTCCTTTTCTTACCATCCAGACAATCAGTAATTTATGCAAGCTTTCACTCTCTGCAACAGGGCCTGAGAGGGGACATGGCGATTGAAGATGGCTCAAGAATCTTCACTGAGGGCCAAAGATTTTCTTCTAGCATATGCAGGATGGCTGCTATGCAGCCTGCAATATTGCTTGTTAGCATCACAGAGACCCACTACGGTTCACTAGGAGCACACAGACCTGGGTATATACACATAGAGGGTGTATGCCCTGTATATTTTCCTTAATGGATGTTATTTTCTGGTGCCCACCTACCTGTGCTGGGGTTTTGCTGTGCTTTGCTGCGATCTCTTTAATCTTGGGGTTATCCAAAATGGCAGGCTCCTCTGGTGTGGCCCTACAGAGAGAAAGAAGAAATGGCAAAGAGCCACTCTAAAAGGTTTCTGCCTAGAAGTAATTAACCACTGCACATTTGTGTATACACACACCTGCACCATTTCTCTTTCAGTTAGTCTGAAAGTTAAAAACTTAAGCCATGCTAACCCATTCATAAATTACCTATCAGGCCGTCCGAGGGGACAATATGCTGTCACAGTGATCCCTTTGGATTGGCAATAGTTGACAAGCTTCTCCTGGGAAAGGTATGGGTGACACTCGATCTGCCAACACAGGAGCACACAGGTACTTGTAGAACTACAGTAATGCTCCAGAGATTTCTCCCCTGCCCTACCCCCCCAGAATCTTCAGTTTCCTAATTATAGGCTGCCTTCATCTTTGCCTGCAGGTGGGCTGTGGGATAATATAAACCCATAATTCTGTAGGGCACTAATTTTTATACTGAGTCCTTATATACATTTTGGATTTTGTTCTAAGAAGTTTCATAAAAATCCTTGGTTACACAATCACAGCTCACATATATGCTCTTTTATCACTCAGAAAGAATGTTTCACAAAGAAATATTCCTATATCTGTAAACGGTGCCACAGGAAGGTGAGAAAAATTATCTCAGTTCTTTTAGTACCCAGTACAGTGGGAATTGAAATACGTACTGCGATAGTCCACTTTGTTCCCCCTTTTTCCATATCCTCATGCAACTGGAATTAGATCATTGCAATTCCTGAAAACTATTCACCATTAGCAGCTTACCTGGTTGTTTACAGGCTTGTGTTTCAGTCCTGGCTTGTTCAAGAGTCTTTCGATCTGCTCATGGTTGAAGTTGGAGATGCCAATGGCTTTTACCAGGCCAGCATCCACCAGCTCTTCCATGGCCTAACAGAGAGAGCAGCAAAGTTACTATCCATGACGCAAGACAGGGCCTGAACACATTCTTCCTGATGTGCCTTGTCTCCCTTCTTATGAAGGGAGAAATAACTGGTAGGATTGCCCAACTTAACTCTCTTGGGGAAGAGTGGGTACTAGTGATTTTTGCACTCTGTCTTTCACTGTCTTCCAGCCAAGCCCAAAAATCTTTTTTATGGCTGAGAAATTCATGCTGAATTACACAAGGAAAAGTTTATCACCAGTCTATGATCTACTACTGTGACAGCACTGGAGAGCTATGCTCTAGGATGATGGCAAGATTATAACCTAAATTGCTTTTATTTCTACAAAATCCTTGTACTTGAGTAGTTTGAGAACAACTGCACAGTTGTCATGGACAAGCAAAGAACTATTTCAACTTCAGATTGTTCTGCAGCTACCCTGGGAGTAATCTGAATTTACTTCTGTACATTCTTTCTTAAGAAATCTGCCTCTGTACAGGAACCACACTGTGAACTACTGAAATATCATTGCTCAGGACAGAAGACATGACTGTCACTGTGGCTAAGCTTACCTCCCACGTTTGCAGAATATCAGCATTGCTGGGAATAGACATGCCTTTGTCATCTGTGGGAAGCAGATCCTCTCCTGCCTGTCAACAAGAAAGAAAATGTTTGAAAAAATCTGTTGAGAAGTTTGTCTAAGACAGTGACAGCTCAGGACCAGAGCTTAAACCTCTGGTGCAGTCAAGAATACCAATTCTTTCTACAGTCATTTCTTCCTTCCTGCGTGAAATGAGTAATTGGAGGTATTTCTGGCCAATCAAGGCAGATATTTCTGCTGGGCTCCTCAAAGCAATGACTCACCTAAACACCTACGGGGAAAGAAAACACTCAGATCCAGATTGAGGTAAGAAATTCATATGTATCACTTCATATGGTATTTTTTTTCACTCATTTAAGAACTGATTTTTTTTCCCCCCCCAGAAGTGCATCACAGGACTTAGTTTTTGATAAAGGTAACACACAGCTCTGGCCAATACTAAACCAAATCTGTTGAAAAGAGACATTATGTACTGTGGCAGGTCATCCATGGCAAAGCTCAAGAATGCTGTTACCATGCCAGGAAAGTCAGAAGAGCCTTTGAGAGCAAGCTGTATCAAGACAGCAAGACTAAACTGCATCTAACAACTGAGTTCGCTGCTGCTGCAAGGAGAGTTTCACTTTGATGGCTTTGTTAACAAAGCTAAAATAGAACATGAAGTTAAGCAATTCAGAAGCAAGAGGTAGGATGGAGACCACTCACACTGTAGCAGGAAGGAGAAGGTAAGACTAGAAATAATCAAACTCAGACATCAGTCTGAAAGACTTCAGCTCCACAGAAGTTACCCCTTTTGCAATGCAGGCTTTGTGGAACAACAGTAAGGCTCCTACAGCAAAGGTTAACTCAGTCTATACTGAACTGAGGACTCAGTGATTGAAAGCAGAAACAGAAACCAGAAACAATCCAGAAATAATCTCTAGATGTGATTCTTTTGCTGTCAGGCAGCAAAATGTAGCCAGCTCTCCACAAAACATGATTTTCAGAGAAGCATATTTTGGATTTGTAGAGAGCCTACAAGAGAGGGAGAAGAGCCTAGCTAGTGCTTGCAGCTGGGAGATCTGCCTCCAGTTTTGAGTCTGTCACAACCTATAATAAGACAGGCATACAAGTAGCATTCTCAAGAATAAAGATCAAGGTTATTCCTCAGTGCTAGCAATGATTGGGCTGTAAAGCCATATAAGTCTTCAAAAACAGTGATCATTAAAAAAAAAAAAAAGGTGTGCATCTCCATTACCATACCTTGAACCCAAAAGGCCAGTGCATGAGGTAGAGGTCCAGGTAATCCAGTTTCAGGCTGGCAAGTGTCTTCTGGCAAGCTCCTTTCACCAGAGGCTTTTCAAAGAACGTGCACCACAACTGGAGACAAAAAGACAAGTCACACCATGACCTCCAGGGTTAAAGCTTTCCAGTGTTTTCCTGCATTAGATAAAAGCACTCCTTCTTTGGAAGGCAACGTGGAATTACACTAACCTGTTGCTCTTAAAATGGAGCTTCCTCTGTGAGCTGGACCAGATCGTGAT